CCAAACCTATTATTTTAAAAGTTTTCAGAAGGTAAGTGCACAACGGACCTAAATCGTTATTTTTTGGTACAAGAACGCCAAAATAAGTATTTATTAAGATATTTTAATTTTTTTTTATATATTAGGCGTCTATGTTTTAAGCATCTCTGGCGCATCTGTCTAGTTTATTAGAAGTTTGCAGATACCGAGTGGAAAATGGTGTGTTCTATTCAGGGGGTAAGCCACTTTGCCACCTTGTGTTAAACACATCAAAAACACTCTTCGACACACTCAAACACATGAGAACCAATTTTTCAATCTTTTCTGGCAGCACCGCCATTCATTTGATGCCCTTTTTGTTTTTGTTGATTTTTTTTTCTGAAGGAGGGACCTCCAAAAATCGGTAGGATTCCACAAAAAAACTGATCGGGACACCGAAGTAGCCCTCACCCCCGCAATTAGGAAAGAAGATTCAACATCAAGCTCAACATTGAAAAACAGACAATTTCAACCTCTAACGAGCAAGAATATCTGTAACTGTATATTAAAGAAGCGGATAATAATTATCATATCAATTATTGATCGATAGCTGAAGACAGATATTTCTTTCTAATGTGTTTGATACCCTTTCGTCGTGGATTTCATATACACAATACCAAATCAGAGAGATCCATCCTACTAGCTGCCGCTTACAAATAGGTTCGTTTTTTTTTGCGAAATTTAGATCCAGAGATTGCTTAGAAAGGGGCGTGCTCGGTTTGGTTATCTGGGCTTGATGGCGACTGGAATTCGGTTGGGATGGATTCGAGAGGACTTGACTGGTTTGAGCCAGGATGTCAAGCATCATGACATAAGAATGCGACGACTGAGGGAGGAGCATTAATTTTCAATAAACGTTTTAACAGCTAGGTCTACATGCAGAAACACCCATAAACACCTTCCGACACCCTAAAACACACAAGAAACACAATTAAGAGGGGTAGATCACCTTTTCGCGGTACGTTAAGGGATGTAAGATCGACCACCGATTCCTAGTCCTGACTACTTCAAACTAGGGGACAAGACTTGGCTTTGTCCACCGAGGATGAACTTGAAACAAGGAAAAAATGAGTTAGTTAGTCTTCATCTATGTGATTCCTAATCTTCTATTCGTTGTTCCCTAATTTGAAGTGCTTAAGACTAGGGTTCTGATGCATGGTCAATATCGGTGTCATTCCTTAATTTTGTTGCTAAGGAATCCAATTTTGACTGACAAAGGGGCGTGCCTTTGGAGGGTGTTTCAATACTCCGAAAGGTATAAATAGCGGGACCTTTCAATTAGAGACGGATCCTTGAGATAAATGCAAGAATGACAGCTGTAAAAAAATCGAATACTTCATCATTTCTCAATACTGATGGAGTAATGCGACATGCACTAAACTAAGGACACGGGAAATACTACAATAGATCAAATTACTGGTCGCAGTGGTGTTAGGTCCCGAACAGTGGAACACAATTACAAGCTTCGTTCTGGTGTTACGGAACTGAAAAGTGTTTGTGATGGCCATGCTAAGCAATATGGAGACATGTATGCGACAATGCAACAACAGTGCTGCAACCCATTGAATCTGCATACAGTTATTCGTCGCAAGAGTTTGAAACCAATTTCTGCACGGTTTCATGACGTGTACAATAAAAACTTTGCCGAAAATTATCAAAGGTCGGAAAGTATGCGTGCAATGTCATCTGGCGGTTAAAAAAACATGTATAATGACCAGCCACCTGCAGGTAAAATTCATCTTGAATTATTCATTTCAATCCCAGCCGTACGAAAGCACGTCTATATTGTAGCGAAACTAGAACTTTTCGAGTTTTTCAAATTCACTCGTCATAGCTTACGTGAAGGTGAAGTCGTTGTTGTGGCAGATTTCTCTGAAAACTATTCTTTCGTTTTTTTTAAGTGTACAGGAAATTCATTATAATGATTTGCTGGCAACCGTTCACACTTTTGATGCCTACACTGTACACCAGAATAAAGTTGTACCATTGAACTGCGTCATAATGTCCGATACTCTAGAGCACAGCACAACAACATTTCATGCTTTCCAGCGCCATTTCATAGAGTATCTCAAATCCTAGGTATCACAGTTGTCCAAAATCTCGTACTTCTCCGATGGTGCGGTACCCTGGTTTTCCACGAAAGAAAATTTGGGGTGCCCACTGAGTGGCACTACTTTGTTACGGCACATGGCAAAGGACCAAGCGACGGATTGGGATGAACTTTGAAGAGATTGGCAACGCGAGCTAGTTTACAAGGAGCCACTATTCACACGCCAAAGGAGCTCTATGACTGGGCAATGAAGAATTGCAATACAAACGTTAGATTTGTGTCATGTGAGATCTGTTCCGAAGAAAAACAAATACTGTTTCACCGTTTTGCATCAGCTGCATCTATTCCCGGTATTCGTTCAATTCATGCAGCAGCTCCTTCTGGTATTGATACCATTATTATGAAAACTGTTTCTGGTGCCACAACTGGTTCAGCTTTTAGAGTTGTGGCAACGAAACGTGCAAAGCAAGTGGATTCGAATAATAATGGGAAGAAATCATCACGAAGTGCTAGCCTTGAGAAGAAAAATAAGTAAATTGTAATTTATGTTTTACATTGTTATAATAAAATATAAGAAACAAATCGATCAGTGTTTGATACAATATTGTATGTATTGGAATGTCTTAATTTATAATGCAATTCGTTTAGATTATTACTAGTGTAAAGTTTTCAGCCACTAAATAATATTTAAATTTGTCAACACTACATAAAAACTATTATTGGTTTTATCATACCTATTTTGTTTCCATCAAGTATTATTTAACAAAGTAAGTCATGAGAATTAATCTTATTACGAGGAAACGTTAAAAAAATAACCCTCATAATTTATGACTTTCATTCATTCAAAATGCAATATCTCAGGAACTACGCAAATTACTTTTTGTCGTTGAGTGTTCCTTATGTAAAAAAGGATGAAGAACACGATGGGGTCCTTAAAATGAAAATTAAACGACATGTATTATGAGAAAACTGCATTTAAAGTTTTCAAACAAAAATAAAAAATATTTGGCAACACTGTACAGAAACAAAAGTTACAAATTTAGATTTCTTGGCTAATTTCATTATTTAAACAATACCTAATGCAATTTGTAGCTTTATTTGTTCCGGAGATATGAACAAAAGAAAGTAGTGGTTTCTAAAAAATAATGAAAAATGAAAAATGTACCCCTTGATCGAGGGGTGCTACGATCAGCATACAACTTTGGAATTTTAGAATTCGAACTTAAATGAACATTCCCCCCAAATTTGGTTCAAATCGGAAGAGGTCAATTTCACTTTTGCAATTTTTTGTGACCACTTGGCGCGGAATGACCCATATCCATTTGAAAAATTATGATATTCAAAAACGTAAGCACATTTTTAAGTCATCCTTTTTTTTAGCAACTCGCTAATGCAGATCAAAAGAACATCAGCAAATGCTGATCTTTTAAAACTTCCTGGTTGTCTATGGAGCATATCTGAAAGAATATCCTGTTACTTATTCAACGTTTCCTGTACATCTACAAAATTTCCTTAAGTTTTAGAAAATTTACTCAAATTTCAAAGTACCTTGAAATTAAACGATGGTCCAAAATCTTCATCTTCAGGAAGTTCATTGAGATTTTTAAGATCTCTGACAAACTGCTATGAAGTTCCCTAAACTGAAACGAAGATCCCTGAAGTCTTCTATATTTACGAAATTCCCTGAACTTTTTCAAAATGCTCTATACTTCTATGAAGTTATACGCAGTTCCTCGAATTATTACGCAGTCCACAAAACTTCATTAAAGCTTGCTTCACGTCTACGTTTATCGTTGATTTTTCGCAAAGTTCGACGCACGAAATTTCCTGAATTTGTGAGGAATTTTCTGAACTATTTCAAGTCCATGAGGTTTCATCAAAGCTCTGAAGTTGTAAAAAAGGTCCCTGAATAATAAAGAGGTTCCCTGCCAGCAAACAATAAACTTCTACGAAGATACCTAAACTTGTATAAAGTTCCCCCTTCTACGAAGTTTACTGAACTTTTCCATGATCTCAGAACTTCAAATAATTTCACTAAATTTAGCTCATGATTCATCTGACATATGTTGGTCTTAATGCATAAAACAAAATATAATAATAAGACCAAAGAAACATTCCAAATCAGGACAGTGTTCTAGTGAAAACAGTTAACGGAACATTAGTGTCAAACGAAGCATAAGTGTTACTAATCAAATTAACGACAGTTTTTTTTAATTTATTTTATTTATTTTTTTTTTATACAGGAGTGAATCTGCTCCCAGACATCTGAGAAGATAACTCAGGGTGTGGGGATGGGATAAGTAGCATTCCCGACCCACTAAACCTTACCCTGTGCTCTAGGCCCTTGCCCTCCCCGGAACCGCCCGAGAAAGCATTACGTCATGGGAGGGGGCCGGTTGCGCTATGGCGCATCACTAAGTGTTGTGTCCACTCGCGACTGCACAGTGAGCAGCTGTGCAGGGCCTTCCTCTTGTTGATCGCTGTTAGTTGTTCGCCTGAGTTCTAGAGCAGACGTGATAGCCAGCGAACTGTCCAGGGCCTAACAGGACAGATGTGACCGCTTACCAGCTGCGTGTGCTAAGCACTCTAAGAACCCGGTGTCACTCCTGCCTTTGCACAACGAGGGTTTGTGCAAGGCTTATCAACCTCCTGGGACGAGCTGGATGGGGTTCCAGCGTCCTTACTCTGCGGTAGTTCGTTTAGCCGCAATATCTCTCCCTTGGGTTCGATAATTAACGTTTCCAGGGCACACCACGAGGAGGCGAACTACTTCATGCCCCCATGCTCGGTGAGCTTCTACAAAGTTAGCTGAATTTTAAAGAAAAATCTGCACTTCAAGATAGTTTCCTGAACTTTTAAAAAGATCCCTGAAGTACCACGAATTTTCTTGAAGAACTACAAAATTCCTTGCAACTCGGATAGCAGTTCGTACCCTGGTGTAGTGGCTGTAGGTGCATTGTCAGACAGCACCAGCAAATCAACAGAGGAAGTGGTAGAGGTGCTGCATGAAGAGGTGGTGATAATGGACGTGTCCTCAGGAGGCCGATAAAGCATGCAAAAATGAACATCAGCAACCTCGGCAGAAAGGATTTGCGGATCTATCGAGATTTGATGCGTTGCAAGCACAAAAAATATAGGAAATCGATTTAGATCTCCATTGTAATATTTGTTTAGTCTTTCGGCTCCGCAGAGCTTTCAAAGATATTGAGCCTACTAAATATACATTTTGGAAAACATGGTTTTCAATTCAGATACTGACCGTTGAGTGTGACAAATATATTGGATTCATCCCAAAATTTACAATCCAGTTTTCTTATTTCTCATCATATTTTCAGGTGACTACTACTTGGGACGAACACACCATGCTTTTTTTCTAAATATATTTGAACAGTTCTCAAATTTAAGTACATGTTTGAATTAACTAGTGATGTCGGCGCAGCTTGAAAGGCTGAAAATACTGATGGATGACGTCATGAATCAATTTCAACAACAAAGTTTTTTTTAAAGGGCCAGCTGCAAAATACCTATCAATTTGATCCACCAAGATCAATCGGATCCAAACCAGGCTGATCAATATCCCAAAATTTGAGCTAATTTGGTGGCGAACTGATTCTGCACTGGCTCTTTGAAGTTTATATGGGAATTACTATAAGAAAAGTGTATGTTTTGTCCTCATCGTTCTAGCCCTGCACCATAATGATTTACGGAAAAGTTGTTCATCAGAGCCCCCCCCCCCTCTTACGTGAAAATTTCCCAGCTACAACTTTGTTGAAACCACTTTTTAATTGAATGTCAAGAAAATTTGTTCTTAATTAATTTCCAAGTTGATAACTTGCTGGTAGGATTAATTGGCTGTTTTCAGGGCAACACTGCATCTTGCCCTTATAACATAATAGCCTCGATTTTTTGTCCTATTATTCCAATGTTGTCTGCTGAGTAGTAAATGAACCATGTCAGAAGAACATCATCTTCCTAATCAATTAATAACTAATTATCCTAACGTTCAATTTTTCAATTCCCACATAAACTTCCAAGGGCCAAGTGCAGTATGAGTTCGCATCCTAATGAGAACAAATTTTGTGAGAATGATCAGGAGCTGATTTGAAATCATTTGAACTTGGTGGAGCTAAATTAATATTTTGAACCATGAAAATTCCATGCGCTTGGATCGGTAACAAATAACCCCGCCGGTAATTGGTTCGTAATCGTTTAACTCATCATCCGCTTGGAATACTTCTATAAAACCACAATTTCTCAACCGTCAAAAACTGAATACCAACTGATTGAAAACAATCAGTTGTACCAGCAACACGAGAATGTGACAGGACTACAACAGTTCTCTGTTGTTTTTTTTTTTTATCACCAACCAGCCACTTTTAGCATGCACGCAGGACGTACTTAGGTACGCTGCCGATCTCCCTGGAGCTCGCCACATGTGACACGAATGAGGCACGTAGGAACAAAAAAGAAACGCGAAATAATACGTCTTGAAATGTACCAGGCACCTACGATCTTAAAGAAAGTGTGTCTCTATCACGCGGGATGGATGCACGTGTACATTAACTCTGCACACAACCGACGGACACTCGCGAACTACCAATCCCATGCAGTCGAGAACGCCTATATCTAATGGCGGGGATTGGGGACCAGCTCGGCGGCAATTAATACGCACGCCACTTGCAGGTTTCGGGATACTTCGTCCGAACACCAGAATTACGCACTACCGAGACTGGGTTCAGCTTCTTCTGGCCAGGTTAACAGCCCGTTTCACTCGCCACACTAGGCGTCACACACGCGAAGGCAAAAATCCGTCTTTCCTTTTTTTCACACTTGACTTTATTCCGCGCGTCCGTACTATCCAAAAGGTTTTCCACAAAAGAGACCCATCAAGCGATCGAGCGCCTATTTATCTTCTCCCTCGCACGCAATGGGAGGACTGAACTTCCTTCCCACACACTTTTGCCAACCCTTGAGAAGGGGTGGTCGTTGTCTACTCGAGCAGTTTTGGTAGCGGACGGCGCTCAAATAGGCGAGTTTATTTTAAATATTATAACAATTTCTAGTTCTAGCTCCTATCTTTCAAACTATTACAATAATGGAATATTTTAATTTAATGGGACATGCTCTAATGTTACAATCTGTGAGGCAGATTGACTTAGTGCATGACCAGTAGTTTTCAAGCTATTTGAAGAATAGCTTTTTTGAAGAAACTAGTTAGTTCTGAATAGAGCACCGTCCTTAAAACTATTTAGCACATTACGCACATTTGGCTCTTGCTCGTCGCTCTTAATCTCTCTCGCAACCATTTCTCTTGCGCAAGAATTTTTCATAATCAAGGAAATAGTATCCTTAATAGGAATGTAGTGCATGGTATCCTTAACCGTGTTGTTTTTCTTAATAACTCCAATCACCTTCCTGGTCTTTCTACTGCTTTCTCGTTGATAGCGAATAGTTCGTAATACCTTTCGCGTGCCTAGCACAACTTCTACTGGTTCCGGTACACTACAAAGTGCTGTTCCAGAAAGATACGACAAATTACTGTTCGGATTCCTAACGTCGGTGTACACATCAGATATCGACATTTCGTTGATCAGCTTGATCACATCGTTGTCAGTGGTATCCAGATTTTTTGAAGTTAGCAAGTTTTTCACAAGACCCAAAACGAACCGTTGATAGTTATCCAAGATGTTGATAGAATGTTCCATGAACATTTTGATTTTGGTTTTTGTTAAAGAAACATCACAACGCATCGTTGTAATAAAAGACGAAGCGATCCCATGTAACTCTTCGCGTGAGACTGAACCCGTAAAATAATTAGGATTCGTGATTCCTTCGTCATCCATGAAACCAATTTCGTCCTCGACTTCCATTGGTTCCTGCGGATCAGAAGGATTTTCACACTCCGATCTTGGCTTTGTGTGGGGCTTGTGATGCCTTAATATGTGGTCCTTAATTCGCTTGAAGCACGTTAAAAATGGTGCCGCAGTTAGCACATCGTAAAGGCACTGAATTCCTCAAGCTCGTATTAAGTTTATGCATTTGCTTCAACTCTTCGACATAACCTGGTATGAACGAAGTGCATCCGGTCACGGGGCAATGGAGACCTTTTATGAGTTTTTAACAATGTTAAACAGCACAAACTGATATTAATTAAAAAAAAACTTACCAGCAAGCTTCTCGAAAGTTTCTTCGTCCAGAATTTTCGATAATTGGTCCATTTTCTACGAGTTTCACGAAACAAAAACGCAACGATGCTTAAAACAAACCGCCAGCAAAGAACTTTCAAGCGAATGCAAAATGGAGAAAGCAGAGAAACCTGAAAATTGTCCTTTTAACGCATTTTTGATTTGTTGATGAATTTATGAAAATGCATATTTATTACTCCCTATTGTGAATTTAAAATTACTCATCTTTTGACGCATACGATGTCTACTGAAAAATATGTAAAATATACTCATAAAATGAGTATTCCAGATTGACCGTGTGGGGCAATCGATCAATCCTGTTCCAGGTGCCAATACACTGAATTGCATCGCTCGGTGCAGACATTTCATGCGTTTCTTTTTTTTGCAATTGATAAGAGCTTTTATTGGACTCTTATCATGGTTTGCGGACCTGTATTGAAGATTGCTTTTATGGAATCCATTCAAGTTGCGCGCATTATGGAACATCAGTGTGACTTTTACGAGTATTAGTAGCACCCGCTTCTCGAATGGGCGATTTTAATACCAGTCAGCTACGTTTCCGAGTCAGGTGAGATTTTAAGTTTGAAGACAAAACTGAGTGGTAGTAAAGTAAGTAACTCTATTCTAGATCACCAGCAATATGACGGAGCAGCAAGCAACGGACCTGTCCACTGCGGACGACTACGTTTGTGGGGAAAATCCCGGCGCACATGGAAACATCTACCAGCGGGACCTGGCATTTGTGCTGTTTGTGCGGGGAACTCTGATGAATTACAAGTTCAAGCTGGCCACGGAGATGACGGTTGCCGGCAAGTTTGACGATGTTATCGTGTACGTTAAAGATCTTGGCGAAACGTGGCTTGTTCAAGCGAAGCATGCAATACTGGATGGGTTGAATCCGAGGAAGATTTCTCACCAGGAGCTGTTTCCCACGGATGACAGGCTTAAGGGGAAAGATTTCGATCTGTTTAAGTACATGAAGTCGTACTTTCGGGTGAAACGTGACGTCAAAGGCAAGAAGCGTTGTTTTATATTCACCAACAAAGACCTAGAAGAGTCGACTGGCCTCAGGAAGTGGGCACAGATGGTTCCTGGAAATGTGAACGATATGATGGATTTTTCAAAATTTGGAGGTTCCTATCGAACGTTCAAGCTGGAGGGGGGAAAAGTTTCCCACATACTAGTTATTATGAACCAAGAATTAAACAAAATTAAACTTGCTTTAGTAGAGCTGTTTCAATGCGGACAGGTTGAAAGAGTGTTGACTGACTTCAAGACACCATTGGCCGAAGTATTGACTGTTAAGGATGGCGTTCTACGGTTCACCGAGGGCTTCCTAAGCACGGACTCTGATCTGAAGAAGGTTCTTCTGGAATCAAATCCAAGCATCAGGGAGTTGAGAAGGGATGCTGACCAAGCGATAAGAGAATTGCTTGATGGTAGAAACAGCAGAAACAGGGATTTTCCAGCGCTAATGACTGAAGGTGATGTGAACGAGTTTTTCGAGAGTCTAACCTTGTGTTTGAACCAACCGAATGAGCTTAGAAAAATTGTCGACTGTGATCTGCGCTTGTGGTTGAAGGATTGGGTGCGTCCCGATGAGCTTGGGAAGTTTGGTGATAGTCAGCTGATGCTGACTGGAACAAAGTTCGATGTCGTTTTCAAAAGCTGGGACGAGCCAAGCATGACTGGTGTGGTGGGAAGAAGGGAACGGAAGCCTTTTCTATGCTCCAGCGAAGGAGCCAAATGTTTCGATGAGGCAACCAAGGAACTGCAACAAAGTACGACGAAAATCCCGGAGGTGTTGAGACGCTACTACGTTAACCGAGAGATAGTTTACGATCGAGCTGGGGTGTTGTCTACGATCAGTGATACGAACATGGCAAAGCAACTGACAAGGGATTTTGGCCAGGATAAATGTCTCATTCTGATAGCTGAACCCGGTATGGGCAAAACGACTGTCCTCCAGTACATGTCTTTCGAATCACAGAAACAGTCCAGCACGGTGCCGACGTATCTAATATATTTGAACGGCCTTAAAGATAAACTGCAGGAAACGGGTGATTGCACTAACCTAGACTCAGTACTGGGCATCTTGGAGGAAGTCCTATCCAGGCAGAGCTGTTCTATTATACAAGAAACTGCACGGGCCAAACATGATCACATGCAGATTTTGTTTTTCCTGGATGGGTTTGACGAGGTTCCCTCCTCGCAGAATGCTAAAGTTATTGAAATTTGCCGACAGTTGTTGACGATGGAACGGGTCAGGATTATAATCAGTGGCCGAAGGCACGTGAGGGACGTTCTGGTGACATCTCTTGAGGCTGTTATTACCAGTCTAGTACCGCTGAAGAGTGGCGAGCAAATGGATTTTTTGAAAAAGTTTTGGAATGTCCAAAGCTTCCAGGACTTTGCTATGCCAAAATTTCAAAAATATGCCTCACTCTTGCTGGAAAAGTTTCACAAGAATATCAAACGCTCTGAGTACGACTTTACTGGATTGCCTCTGATGGTGAGATTGTTGGCTGAAATCTACACCGACCATTTCGAACGGTTCATGCAGACGGACGACACCGACGACAGCGATTTGGCAGTGTTTGAAAGTGGGACATTCAGTGTGGTTGTATTGTTTGAACAATTCGTTAGGAAGTCGTTTTGCATGAAGATGTTGAAGAAGTTTAACCTGAATGCCTACTCAAAGCATGACCCATTCGATGACGAGTTGGAGCCAGTGTTCCGGCAAACTGTTTTCGAACATCAATTGGCAGCCATCAAAGAGCTTAACATTTCCGAGCTTCAGGGTGACCTTACAGAGCATTCGAAGGCCTACGAAGTGTTCATGAAGCGAATCGAAGATGGAAAGGAAAAGTCCCTCTTGATCAATGTATCAGGAGTAAGGGTTCAGTTTTTGCACTTGTCCTTTGGGGAATACTTCATTGCGAGGTATTTGTATGACAATGCTAATCGTTCCGAACAGCATTTATTGCCCATTCTAGAGAAAAGGGAAGTCGTTCGAAGGTTCTTCCTTATGTTTGTCGAAGAAAATCTTGACGCAAGTTCAGAACCTTTTAAAATTTTGGACAACATTTGCAATGCAAACCAAATAGTTGCATTCTGGGCAAGTGAAGCAGTATGTGAAGGCATGGTTCAAAACTTGCTGACAAATAATGACTTCCGGAGTACGCGCTTCGAACAATATGGCTCATTGCTGCATGTATCAGCGAGTGTTGGTTCTGAAAAACTAACTGACGTCTTGATTCATAAACATGGTATGGAAGTCAACTGCTTATCCAACGAAGACACCAACCCTTTCGATGAATTTAGCGGAGATTCAAGTACTTTCCAAGAACAGCTTGAAATCACAAGTCAACTGACACCGCTTCATTTGGCCACCAGTCATGGCCACAAGAATGTTGCTGAACTTCTACTAGCCTATTCTGCCGATGTGAATGCCCGAAACACTAGATTACTCACTCCGCTGCATTTGGCTGCCCAACGTGGTTTTGTGGATATCGGGCAAATGCTTATCGATCACCAGGCAGACGTTAACGCTCAGGATGAATACAAACGAACATCACTTCACTTGGCGGCTCGTTTCGGTCACATGTCCATTGTAGTCCAGCTAACAACTCATGCAGCCGATTTAAATGCTCAGGACTACGCTGGAATTACACCATTGCACTTGGCAATTGCAAACGGCCACGTAGAAATTGTAAAACATCTCATCGTTGACGGACTAGTGGACGTTACCTTGCCCAACAAAGCAGGAACTGCTCCTCTGCATGTGGCCGCCGAGAGCGGCCAAACCGTCACAGTACAGTTGCTATTGAATCGACAAGTCGATGCGGGTGTAAAAAATTATAGTGGCTATACACCTCTTCACCTGGCAGCTCAGAAAGGCCATGCAGATATTGTAAGGCTACTTGTGGAACGGGCATCCGCCGATGCAAACGCTTTGGCCGGTACGGAAACACCCCTGTCCTTGGCAGCTTCAGCCGGGTGTACAGAGATCGTTCGGTATTTTATCAATCACTTAGCCGAGGTAAATTCGCTGGATAAACATGTTGCCAAAGCATTTTGGGTGGCTGTTCAATCAGGTCATACAGACATTTTCAAACTACTATTGAATCAATCAGCGGATGTGAACGCTAAACAAGAGACTTTAGAAATAACTCCACTTCATATCGCAGCTTCTCATGGGTTTATAGATATCGTGGAAGTGCTGCTCGACCATTCAGCAGAGGTCGACGCCAGGGATATGGATGATGCAACGCCACTCATGTTGGCGTCCGATCAAGGTCACAATGAAGTTGTGAAGCTTCTGCTGAAGCGATCGGCCAAACCGAACGCCCAGAAATCGAACAAATGGACATCCCTTCACTTTGCGTGCTATAGAAATCATCAAGAAGTTGTGGGTGCACTTCTGGATGGGATGGCCGATGTCGATGCCAGGAATGAGGAAGAATGGACCCCCCTCCACTGGGCAGCCCGTTATGCACATTTGGAAATTGCTGAACTACTTCTCGATCGGTCTGCCTCGATCAACGTCCAGCAGAAAGACAAAGACACCCCTCTTCACCTGGCAATTCGCTACGATCAGACTATGGAAGTTGTCCGGTTACTTGTCAAACGCTCAGCGGATCTGAACATCCGGAATAAAAAGCTCCGGACACCACTGCACATGGCAGCTCATTTCGATCGCAAAGGCATAGTGAACATATTGATTAATGCAGAAAACCTTAACTCCCAGGACAGCAATGGCTGTACACCGCTTCACTTGGCCGTGGAGAAAGGTGCCGATGAAGTTGTGAAAGCACTGATACACCACACAGCAAACGTACTAATTCAGCAGGCAAAAGATAAATGGACACCACTGCACCTGGCGGCCCGCCATGGCCGTTCAGAAATAGCCAAACTACTGATAGATGCCAGCGCCGATGCAATCGAAGCACGGGATAAGGATAATAGTACAGCTCTTCACTTGGCAGCTCGCTATGGCCATGTGGACACAGTGCGGTTGTTGATCGATCATTCAGCAGACGTAACCGCTCGACAGATAAATGGGAAAACACCTCTCGACTTGGCAACTAAATATCGCTGTAAGAGCGTCATTAGCGTGTTGAATGGTCAGTCTCGGATCTTGGCAGCATGATTTCGAATGAAATAAAGTTTATAATGTTTTGATGATTTTCGCTTTTCTTCTCACTTGATTTTTCGAGATAAAGCCCTCGAACATTTCCAGACCAAACAGCAATTACCAAAAATTAACTGATTCAACCTTCTCCGAGTTGCATATGAGTTTGCTCCACAGTGGTCCATTGGTTTCAAATCAGGTCCTGATCAGCCCCCAAAACTTGAGCTTATTTTGTGAGAAACTGACTTGGCACAAACTATTTGAAGTTTATATGGGAATTACTGTGGGAAAACCAAACTTTTTGTTTATTGTCAGCTAGATTTTTCCAAATTAATGAAAAGTTTTGTTGTCTCAGCTACAGCTTTGTAGAAACTTAACGTCAAATTAAATAGTTATTCATTATTTAAAGGATTGATAATCATAGTATGATCAAACAGCTGTTTTGTGGGCAACACTGTATTACACAATTGTGACAAAGTCAAACAGAAATTCAAGAAATCTAAAAATCAAGTCCACTCAGAAAGCCTCCGAAAATATTAAGAAATCGGAAAATAACATAGAAACAGGAAAACCATAACGGAAAATAAAAATCACAGTAAAATTGCCAACATTTTGAAAATCACAGGAATTTAAAAAAAGCGAATGAAAGTAAAATAAACACACTATAAAAGATATACTTAAAATCAAAGAAAATTAAAAATCAACAAATAAGCTAGAAATAATGGAAAACCACAGAAAATTAAAAAAAAAATACTCAGAAAAATCGTTCAACAAATCATAAAATTTTCAGGAAACCAAAAAAATATTGTTTAACAATCCCAAATTGAACCAGTCCCTGGCTGAAAACCATTTAAATAAAGCAAAAACAAAAGTTTTACATAAATTAAGAAAATTAAGAAAATTGGCAAACTAGAAATACAGAAAATAAGAATTTCAGAATGTCACAAATATTTAAAGCAAATTTGAATATTATTGATAATAAAAAAAAAGAAAATCACAGACAATTAGAAAGAATATCAGAAAATCTGAAAATCAGAAAATCCGAAAATCAGAAATCAAATCAACACAGAACATCTCCTAAGATATTAGAATATCAGGAATAACAAGGCATCAGAAAGACACTGAGAATATCAGAAATTTAAATATTTTTGAAAATTACTAATTTAGAAAAGAAGGATATAGAAAATCAATTAGGAATTACCAGAAACTTAGAACGAATATCAAAAAATATATAAATCAAATCAGCACAGAAAATCTCCGCAAATATCACAAAATCAGAAAATAACAAAGAATCAGGAAATCACTGAGAATCACAGAAAAAGCACAAAAATTCTCAAAAATCATAAACTGTCAAAAATCAAATAAACACGTGGAAATTGCGTGTTGAGTTTCACCTAGTACGAGTCTACGTTGCGTGAAGAAAAGTTCCAGGTTTTTCAACAGCGGTTATTATCGTAGGCTGTACCGAGTGATAAGTAAAGCATAGTGAGATGTCGCGACATTGTCTCAACGCTTCCCTCCTCTTTGCTTGCCCGTGTGTGCTAGTAAACAAAGCTCAATTTCAATGATCATGGCGTTCAACGGAAACGGCTAATCGATGCACCCCTCGAAACATGGGAAAATCCACGAACCCCTCATTTTATCTGTCAAACTTTCATTGCAAATCAAAACAAACATTGTGTAGTACTGGAATTTATTCTAGAATAGGGTACGTTAATCGATTTGCTTGGGACCAATAGGCTAGTCAAGTAGTGAGCCAAGTTAAAATCGTTAGTTTCGTATTGATTGTTGGTAACAGGGTGAAGCGATGATGGTCTACGAACAGCCAACACCGATAAGCTGTTCAATCTGCTCTGCCTGTACGGAAATGTTGTCAGGATAAAGTTCCTGAAGACCAAAGAGGATACCGCGATGGTCCAGATGGGAGACACCATCGCAGTCGAACGCAGCATCCAGCACTTGAACAACATTCCAATCGGAAATGATGGTACCAAAATTCAGATTGCATTTTCCAAGCAGAACTACTTGTCAGAGTCCACCAACCCATACACCCTGCCGGACAATTCGATCAGCGCCTCCAAGAACAATTGCTTCCTTTCCCGAGCAAGACTCTCCACTTTTTCAATACCCCACCCGCTATGTCCGAGGATCCGCTGCTGACTGCATTCCCCATCAAGGACTGCCACCTATCCCAAGTGCAAATGTTCCCGCAGAAATCTGAACGTTTCTACTCCGGATTGGTCGAGCTCCCGAGCGTAGCCATGGCGGTGAACGCCATCATGAAGTGCAACCACAGCGCGATCGATCACCGTTCATTCTGAAGCTGTGTCTCTCCTCGTCCAGGACGATGAACGGTGCGTGGAGCAACGAGAACATCGAAAACATGGGCATGGGCATGACATCGACACCTGGCAACCCGATGTCGGCAGCAGCCGCGACAGCCTCCACCGTGGCAGCAGCGTGCGGTGATGAGACGCTCATTTCGACGACGGGCAGCTGTCTCAAACACGATGATCCAATGTTAGATGGAGTCCATGTCCTTAGAAGGAAAGCAACAGCAACGACGAGACTTGGTGGAGATTCGCAGTTGTATTTTGAAAAATAAAATGATTATATTGTGGCAACATCAATAACAAATTTTGACACATGCATACTACACGGTAACCGCAAAATACCCAATAATGACTACAATGATTACAACTACAAAAACAAGTAGTAAGTATTCATTTTTGAGTAATAAATTCTCATAAATGGGTAATATTTAAAAAAAAACTATGTTTTCAAATATTGTAGAAATCATCCAAAAGCAATAACGCCCCTTTGAAATGTTGGCACTGAAATATTTTTTAAACCAATTTGATCTTCAAATTTATCAAGTTGTATCACAAGTATTTGAGTATATTTTGTAAAAATTTCAGCCTTTTTGATGAAGGTGTTCTGATATATCTTGGTATTTTTAAACATAATTAGATAATTCCACGAACTTCGGCACAACTTCTCTGAACTTCGGCAGAACTTCGCTGAACTTCAGCAGGAGTTCCCTGAACTTTATCAGGCCTTCCCTGAACAACGGCAGGACTTACCTGAACTTCGGCATGAGTTCCCTGAACTTCAGCAGCCCTTCTCTGAACTTCGACAGATCTTCCCTGAACTGCGGCAGGACTTCCTTGAACTTCAGCAGGACTTCCCTGAACTTCGGTGGAACTTCTCTGAACTTTGGCGGGAGTTCTCTGAACATTGGTTCTTCTTCTTCTTCTTCTTCTTCTTCTTCTTCTTCTTCTTCTTCTTCTTCTTCTTCTTCGCATTTCAAGCTTATAGCTTAGCGCATATTAGCTTATTGCGTGCTCTTAACTTAGTGTTCTAAATGCACTTCCATAGTTATTAATTGAGAGCTTTTGATGCCAATACCAATGCATGAATTTGTATATTGTGTGGCAAGCACAATGATAATCTATGCCCAGGAAAGTCGAGAAAATTTTCAACCCGAAAGATTCTTTCTACCGGACCGGGAATCGAGACCGCCGCCTCCGGCTTGGTAATACCATAGGTAACTCTAAGACTAGAAGGTCCCGAAATAACGTGCTCAACTTTTTGGCTCAGCTCTGGTACTATCTTCGGACCCAAGCTAATCGATTCACCCCTCGAAACATAAGAAAAACCAATAACCCCTCATTTTATCTGTCAAACTTTCATCGCGAATCAAAACAAACATTGCGTAGTACTAAAATTTCGACTAGAATGGGATACGTTATTCGTTTGCTTGGGACCAATAGGCTAGTCAAGTAGTGAGCCAATTTAAAATCGTTAGTTTCGTATTGGTTGTTGGTAATACCGTGCCTTTACTGACTAGGGTATGAGGCCCTGAACATTGGTAGAACTTCCCTATAGTTCGGAAAAACTTCCCTGAACATCGACAGAACTTTCCTGAACTTCAACAGAACTTCTCTGAATTTCCGCATAACTTTCCTGAACTTCAGCAAGACTTTCCTGAACTTCAGAAGGACTTTCCTGAACTTCGGCAGGACTTTCGGCAGGCGTTCCCTGAGCTACGGCAAGACTTCGCTGAGCATTAGTAGGACTACCCTTGTTCGAAGAAAAGTTGCGGACGTCGCCGAATTCATGAACATTTATTCCGAGAGTTAACAGTGTTATAAATTCCGATTGCGTCGAAGGCATCCCTAGCTTGCGCAGTTTCAGCTGTTGCATATTAAATGTTGATTAGCAAACGGGTGCTTATAATCTTCAAATTAATTAATTTTCCCATACCTTTTAGTTTGGTAATATAGACTTAATTGCAGTTTGTAGAATAATATAGCAGTTTCTCCTAAATTTCTATTTATAGATGTTACCTATTATTTAAGAACACTAGTCAGTAATTTGATTCGGTATTTGTAATTTGTTCTTCTCACCTTATGTTGATTTCAGTATTAACTGTTTGAAAACAACTATGTTTAAGCACTAGATAGGTAAGCTTAGGTTTAGAAACTAGATTTTAAGGAAACTTTTTAGATATTATTTAAGCATAGAATAATTTTCACTTTCACTTTCTTATCTATCGAGCTACTTTACGTTTGGCAAATCATCAACGGATGACAGATCGCGATCACGACAGCGAAGATCATGAAGTGGTGATCGTGCGAGATCAGTGACGGGTCCTGCTGCTCACTTCTCATCACTCACAGGAAGTCGAGGGGTTCGCCGTATCGATAGGCGTAGTCAGGCATGGAAAATCATTTGCATTCATTTCGTGCATTCATTTACATTCATTTGCCGCTAACTTTTTTCATCAACAGAATTCTGCAAAATAGTTTGTGAAGCTTTTGTAGGTTTTGTTATGAGCTACAACTTTTGCCCGTATTCAAATCTGTATCTCTTATGCATCACGAATTAGAGCGGGCAGAACTTGTTACTGATTTTCAGTGAATGTAAAATAAATTCACTGAAAAACAGTAGTGGCTTCTGTTCACTCTGGTTCGTCATACATAAGAGGTACGGATTTGAGTTAATAATAAAAGTTG